TCCCCCTTAGGAAGACTGATGGGAACATGCTTTCATGTGGTACTGCCAGGTAGTTTGCATAACCAGAGCTTTGTATGACAAATAGGCAACATGTCCACATGCAATGACTGGGTGTTCTGAAATCTTAAATTAGGTACAAGTTTTATTGCAGTCTAACTCCAACTCTGTGGTCTGGCAAGGCCTTTGCATATGAGAGGTTCAGGGCACTGGGCCAGGGCTTCTTAACCCTTTAAAAATCCTCACTCCCCTCTAGTAAACATAAAAATTTCATTGGCCTCTCTAGCCCTGAATTTGGTATATGTCCTAAGGGGGCATAGTCTATCCTCTGATGATCTCTGTCAGTCAAGAGGCTTAATTTTGATGACTTGTATGTTGAAGAGGGTAGAATTTTCCCTCACATATAAAATTACTAAAAATTTAATATGCCTGTTCAAACTAATACCTCTTCCCATTCTATAAAGGCCACCCTTCACCTTTGAGGATTGCTGCCCCACAGTCAATTTTTTTTTGCCCTTTCTTATTGCCTCCCCCACCCCCTTATCTATCCTATAAACATCTGGCATCATATGAAATACATAGCATGTGCTAGTTAGCAAACACTCGACTATGTGATCTGGTGATTTGGAGTCTTAAGCTGAGGCTTGTTTCTATGTAAGTAATCTGGCCTATTTCACTAAGTCTGGGTAAAAATGAAGTCCCTTGCTTTTGTTTTTTCAATTGTTTGCTCCCCCTTCACTTTTCTAATTAGCAAGAAGTCCAGTATCTTGTTTTTGAGACCCCTTTGTCCTGATTCTCTTCGAATCCTAGTGTTTCCTCAGTTCAAATGGAGCCCAAAAGGTCATTGAGTCTGAGGGATCTACCCCTGCTGTTGCTTCTTGCTGCCACTTGGTGTCACTGTTGAAGACAGGTCCTTTACAGTTCAGTGGAGTCAGTACCTGCTGCCTCACAGGGTACAAATTAAATGAACTAATACATGTGATGGCATGTAGATAGATACATGGTACTAGGTGGGCACTTGAAGGTTTTTATGTTATGTTATTGGGCCTCAGTTTTATGTCTCATGTAGGGCCTAGACCAGAGAATCCCTGGAACCATCCTAGCTCTGGCAAATGGTGAGGAATAGATGGGGGCCTGGGTGCCCTGTAGGCTGATATAGAGCCTGGAGGCCAGGATGGACCAGTCAGGGTCCCTCTTGAGCCTCTGGCTGTCTTAATCCTGTTGTCCTGAGGTTGGTCTGCCATTTGTAGGTGGAGGGGACAACCTGATAGCATAGAATTCCTTTTCTGATTTTATTTGTTTATTTTTGGATGTGCTGGGTCTTTGTTGCTGTGTATATTTTTTTCCACTAGTTGCAGCAAGCGAGGACTACTCTCTAGTTGCGATGCATGGGCTTCTCATTGCAGTGGCTTCTCTTGTTGTGGAGCATGGGCTCTAAGGCATGTGGGTTTCAGTAGTTGTGGCTCACAGGTTCTAGAGCACAGGCTCAGTAGTTGTGATGCACTGGCTTTGTTGCTCCATGGCATGTGGGATCTTCCTGGATCAGGGATCGAACCTGTATCTCCTGCATTGGCAGGTGGATTCTTTACCACTGAGTCACCAGGGAAGCCCTAGAATTCCTTGTAAATCAAATTATTTGCTCTGACTCAGAGGAGGAGGTTCTGGGATGTTCAGGCTGAAAAAAACTGCCTCAGATCACAGGGCTGGTTGATGATAGCTGGTCCTTAACCAAAGTCTTTCTGAAAGTAGAGCTTGAATCTCAACCTAGGAAGTATCCTAGAGAACAAGCCTGTCTGTTGTTCATTTATTTTTACACTCTCCCCATTCTAAGCACAGTGCCTTGTACATAACAAGAAATACCCCTTCTCCATGTCAAGTACTGTTAATGGACTACTCACATGCTCACAAGTACATTTAAGAACATCCTCTGCCTTCCATCTCTTTGCTTCATCTGTTTTCCTACTTCTAGGTCACAATAATTAAGAACAAAGTGCACAGGGCACATAAACCTGTTTTTACCTTTGAGTAACTACTGTTGCTTTACAACTCCAATTATCAGATTTCACACCCTCTAAAATATATTGATAACCTTTCTTGGAAACAGCAACACCTTATATCTTTAATAAAGTTTGTGACTAGCACATAAAAGATCTCCAACTAGTAATTTATTTTAGATCATGTAAAAAAGATTCACTGGCCACATACATTGAAGGTTAATGAATCATTAATGTAAGTTAACCCCATTTGCCAATTCATTTGTCTATTTGGGTTGTGTCCTAAAAGTTCATTCATGAGTCAGTTTGCTTGTTTCAATGGGGAACTATACAATAGATATAATTAATCATAATATATAGTACTATGATATATAACAGCGAACACTAATAGAAGCTAGAAGCACTAAAAATGGCTCCAAGTCATTGAGTACCAGGTCCTTTACATACCCGATCCCTATTTTTCACAACACCCCTGTAAGATAGGTACCCATTTTACAGATAAAAGTGAGTTTCAACTATGTTGAGGAGCTTCCTTTTAAGAACACACAAAGTCAGATACCTTTCTTCTTAAAAAATATTTATTTGGCTGCACTGGATCTTCGTTCCATCCCGCAGGACCTTAATTCTCTGACCAGGGCACCCTGCATTGGAAGCATGCAGCATGGGTTCTTAACCGCCAGTGAAAGTGTTAGTCACTCAGTTGTGTCAGACTCTTTGCAACCCCATGGACTGTAGCCCACCAGGCTCCTCTGTCCATGGGATTTCCCAGGCAAGAATACTCAAGTGGGTTGCCATGCCCTCCTCCAGGGGATCTTCCCCACCCAGGGATCAAACCCGGGTCTACCCGCATTGCAGGCATGTCCCCAAAGTCAGATATATTTCTTGTCCCAAAGGCAGCTCCTGCTAAAGAGGCCTTGACAGGCTACCCATGACCTCCCTCACTAGTCCTCTTCCCTTCACTAACTCCAGCCATTGGGCCCCAGGTGGCACCTGACTGAGTGCCAGCCAATCCTGGTTGTGGCCTGGTTTGAAAAGATGAACTTGGTCAAGTTGATCTTCCATTAGGATTTTGAATTGGGAAGCATGGAAAGAAGCAGAAAGTGGGTAGGAGGAGGAGCTGGGACTGAAAGGCTCAACCCAAAGCTGTTGAAAAAAGTTTCGGGCAGGGAGACTGAGGAAGCTGCAATGGGCCATATTCAAGCTGAAGTTTATGAGGAAGGAGAAGGCAGAGACTTGAATGTAGTGGAAGGAAACAGAGTAATCTGAGCGGGACAGAAAGAGGGACATGCAGAGAGCAGCCAGGTCAATGGAGAGCACTCTGGGACCAGGTGCTGCCCCTTTCCTCCCCACCCCCCCAGGTGGTGTGCCAGGATAGCTGTAAAGTAATCCTTCATCTCTTGACTTAGCTGTAGTATCTGTTCCTTTCAACCAGGAGAGTCAAATTAGAACACAGAGCCTTTAAGTGCTAGAAAAGGAATCTGAACCCCCATTTTGTGGCTACAGATCCTCTGCTCTTATCCCTGCACCTGCACCCCTTTGTTCCTTCACAAATACTGCCCTGGTCCATCATGGCCTTCAAGGTCACCTTAATGTATCTCAAAGGGAAGCAGTAAGAGACTCAAATTTTCCGAATCCATGTCTCAAGTCTTGATTTGCTTTCAGAGCCCTGAATGGAAGGGTGGGTGTTAAGAAAGCCTCAGGCAACTGAGAGGTCTCCAGGCAACTTTAGGGCAGGACTCCAGCTCCCAGGGCGAAAGGTGCAACTATGGGGTGAGGGTAGGGGCAGGTCAGTGGAGCATGGGGGTCCCTTCAGAATGGGGACTGGTCTTATCTATGCTTCTACCTCCAGTTCTCAGATGGCACCTGACATGTATATAAGTGAATGAGTGAATGAATGGCAGTCTCACAGCCCCCTTCACATGTGTGGATCATTCTTTAGTCTTCCCAAGTTAATGAACACCTGTGTCTATCTCTAAGAAATAATTCATGCTGCAATATGAGTAATATTCACAGTGACTCGTCACCTTCAGCTTTAAAAATATTGAAGATGAGGTAGTGATGACCACGGTAAGGACATAGTTCAAAGACAACAGATGGATTCTGGATTGCACTTGCCCCTTGTTTACAGAAATACGGCTCACTTTGTCTTCCTCTGTCTAGAGAGAGTGAGGTTTTCATTTTAAGAGGCTGACTCAAAAATGCAGAGCCACTTCCTGGGCAGGCTTCCAAGTGACTACATCTCTCTGACAGCGCTCCCCAGAGCCCCAGCCCGAGCTGCCTGGGGCGGGGCCTCCAGCCGTTAGTGGCTGTTGGAACGACCAGAGAGGAGCAGTTATCTGCAGCCCGCCAGAAATGCTGGGCTTTTAGGCCCTCTCCGGGCACAGATAACCGCTTGGGCCTTTGCGCTAAAGAGACGTCAGAGTTTGTGATTGGCCAGGCCGCTGTGTGTGAAATACAGATGTCTGCCACACTCCTGACCATGGCATTCCTTCCAGCCGAGTACCCCCGGGTGTGGGTAAGTCTGAATGTTTGAAGTCTGCCCTGGTTGTTTGTGAAGTGCTCCAAGCTGAGCATCATGCCTTTCCAGGGGGCATGACTTGGCATGTTCCTTAATCCTGCTAAGCCTCAGTTTCCTTTTCTGTGATGCAGAGATGATATCGTCCTGTGCTGTAGGACAATGCCTGTAGAAGGAGAGCAGTGTCTAGCCATCGTAGGGTATTGCAGGGCCTGGGGGAGAGACCATGTCCAGAGCACCACGTCTGGTACCTGGCAGATAGTACGTGCTGGAGAGCTTATTGCTGAAGCATCAGTCAGGGGAAAAAAAAAAGCCTTCATGAACAATACCCCTGTTTTTCTTTCTAACAGTATGATATTTCTCTGAAAGACTGAGTGGATATCTTCTACTTAATCCTCCACATGTAGCCAACAGAAATAAAACTTCAGGGGAAGTCAGTGCTAAAGCCAAGGCTGTCAGACTAAATTTACTCCCTTTCTCTTTTTTCCTTCTAGACCCTGACTGCACCTGCCCCATTTGCAGATGAAACCAGTTGTCAGTGCCAAGCACCCCATGAGAAACTGACCATTGCTCAAGCCCGCTTAGGGACACCAGGTGAGGCTGTACTACTTAATCTCCGGACGGGCCCTGTCCTGACATCTCAAGTGGCAGAAAGGCCCATCATTATGTGAGCAGCTCTCGCTTCAAATTGGAGACATGCATCTAGAGGTGATCGCACAGGGCGGGAAGGGTAAATGCCGATGGCGATCAACTGGACCAAACAAAGTAGCCAAGGAAAAGATGTTGCAGGACACTGGAGTTGGAGCCCCAGCTCTCTTCTTTTACTTTGTACTGCCTGGGCGAGTCATGAGAACAGTCTGAATCTGTTTCCTCATGTGCAAACGACCAGGATTCCTAAGCAGGCTTTTTATGACAACTAGATTGTGTTTTTTTTGACAACATACCATTGCATTTTTTTTTAAACTGTGAAGTCATAGACAAACCTACACTACTGTAATTATTAATCATTCTTAAAAGTCTGTGTTTTAAAAGTTTCTCCAAGTGTGCCCTGGCTCTGGTCTAGCAATTTACCGTTCATTCCTTTAGCCCCTACCAGAGACAAAGAGGGAAGAGATGTAAAAAGAACTGTAAGGTGCTATCTCTGTTTCCTAAGAGCGTTCACTATAATTAAAGAGACAAGACAACTAGATAGGAAATAAAAACCCACCAGTAGCTTGCAAGCATGTGCTTAGGGGTTAAATCCTGCAGTACAAATGATAGCTGACAGTTTTGAGAAGGGCAGATTCATTTGGCTTCAAGCAGTCAGGCAAGACCTAATCCCAGACCTGAACTGATCTTTCGGAAAAAATACGATGGGTTCTTTGTGCACAGAAAATGGAAGGATATTGTGGGCAAGTGAGAGAGGAATAGTGAAGGCACAATGATAGGGAATGAGTGAGTGGTGTTCCTGTTGATTGGGATGGAGTGAAAAATAAGACTAGTCCAGCAGGTGAGCCTTGAGCCATTTGAAATGGCATAATTCTATGGTTTCCACTCGCCAGCCCAAAAAACAAACATCCCAAATGTAATAGAATCCATGGGACAAAGGACAGTTTGCTTAAGAGCAGCAGATATTTATTAAGTACTTACTGTACACTAAGTTCTTTATCTTTATTGTCATTTCACTAGCACAACCCTATGTGGTTGATACGTTTAGTATTTCACAGGTGAGGAGGTGAAGGCTTTAGACCAGGGGTCCCCAACCTCCAGGATCTAGCACCTGATGATCTGAGGTGGAGCTGATGTAATGATAGAAATAAAGTGCACAATCAATGTAATGCACTTGAATCATCCCCAGACCATCCCCACCTCAGTCCATGGAAAAATTGTCTCCCACAAAACCAGTTCCTGGTGCCAAAAAGGTTGGGGACCGCTACTTTAGAGAAGCTGTGAATCTGCAGAAGATCGTTTAGCTAGTAAGTGGCAGTGTTTCTCACATTTGAGTTTGTCTCAGAATAACCCAGAGGGCTTATTAAAACACAGGTGGCTGGGCCTTACCCCCTGATTCAGTCCAGCTGGGGTGAGACCCAAGAATGTGCGTCTCTAAGAAGTTCCCAGGTGAGGCTGCTGCTGGGGAACCGCGCTTTGAGAACCACTGGTAAGTGCTGAAGCTGGGATTGGATCTCAAACCTGTTTGTGCTCAAGCTTGATCTGTTGGTCATGACACTGCTGCCCCTTTAAGAAGAGCTTCGAGGGAGTGAAGTGAGGAGCAGAGCAGACAGAGGGCTTTGTAGTGACTTCTTTTTTTAGATTTACTTATTTATTTTTGGCCACACTGGGTCTTTGTTGCTGTGGGGCTTTCCCTAGTTATGGTGAATGGGGCTGCTCTCTAGTTGGGGCACACAGGCGCAGTAGCCGTGGCGCACAGGCTTAGTTGCCCTGTGGCATGTGGGATCTTAGTTCCCGGACCAGATTGAACCCACGTTGCCTGTGTTGACAGGCAGATTCTTAACCACTGGATCACCAAGGAAGTCCTTATAATGACTTGTGAAAATTTATTCAAGAAAAGCCTTGAGGAGATAGTGCAGAGCAAGCAGCTAAACCAGTGTGCAAAGAATCACCTGGTAAGTTTGTAAGCAGCAGAGGTTTTGCTCACTCTCCCAGACTCCTAAATCTAGGATGAAGCCCAGGCATCTGCATTTTAAACAAATAGCCCAGGTGATTCTGAAGTTGGGGACCTATAGACCATAGCCTGAGAAATGCTGATGCAGCAATAATCTAAAAGGTGGAATGAAAGTCCAAGTGGTTATGAAGAGAACAGACTTGACTTCAAGTTAAAGGATGAGCTTTAGGTCCGAGCAGAAAAGGATCCTACTTTTCTAAGGGAAAGGAAAGGGGATTTGAACTTGCTCTCCATCTGCTAGGTGCTGTGCCCTGTATGTACTCTATTTAGTCTTTGCAAAAACTGGTTAAGGTGGGTATTTTTGTGCCCTCTCTGCTGACAAGCCCAGGTGGCACTTGGAGAACTGGAAAGTAACTTGTCAAATGTCCTAGCTAACTGGTAGAGCTGGGATTCGATCTCAGGTCCCTTTCACCTCATACCCCTGCTTTGTCCACCTCGATGGGCTGCCCTGTGGAGCTCAGTGAGAACATACTCAGACTTTGAACTATAGGCTGGCAAGTGTGTGAACAAGAAATAAGCTACAATCTTCTGTAGTGGGAGGGTCATCTCATCTCCGTGTCCACTGCTGTTTTACCAGTACCTGGAGAAGTACTGTATGCTCAGTAAGTATTTTGTGAATGAATGATTGAACGAATGAAAGATGGAGCCAAGAAAAGGAACTCATCAGTTGGAAATAGAATCAGAGAGAGTTTGACCTGCTGTAGGCTGACCGAATGAGACTGAGCACCTGTAGGCTAACTGCCAAGTGTTTGTTTGTTTGTTGTTGTGTTAATAATTTATTTTATTTTTGGTGGCTCTGGGTCTTTGTTGCTGCACTCGGGCTTTCTCTGGTTGTGGTGAGTGGGGCTGCTCTTGGTTACAGTGCACGGGCTTCTCATTGCAGTGGCTTCTCTTGTTGCAGAACATGGGCTCTAGGACATGTGAGCTCAGTAGTTGGGGCTCACGGGCTCTAGAGCACAGGTTCAGTAGTGGTAGCACACAGGCTTAATTGCTTCATGGAATGTGGGATCTTCCTGGACCAGGGATCAAACTTGTGTTTCCTGCATTGGCAGGAGGATTCTTACCCACTGTACCACCAGGGAAGTCCCGCCAAGAGGTTTAAAGCCTGAGAATCAAGCTAGAATAAGATGGTGCATTTTAAAATACCTGTACGGTGGGCTCTGTGGTACACAGGTCATTAGAGGAGGGATGAGATGGAGCAAAGGTGAACTACTACTCTCGGAAATTCTCCCCTTTTATCTCAGGTGACCATACTGGGAAGTCATCCAGGAGAATTTTTGTGATGTTTGGTGGGCATCTGGCCAAGGGAACTTCTGTTAGGAAATCCTTTATTTAGAGCATCTTAAAAAAAATTTTTTTTTTAATTTTTTTGGCTGTGCTGGGTCTTCGTTGATGTGTACAGGTTTTTCTCTAGTTGCATAAAGTGAGGGCTACTCTGTAGCTGCAGCATGTGAGCTTCTTCTTGTGGAGGCTTCTCTTGTAGCATAGCACAGACTCTAGGGCACGTGGGCTTCAGTAGTTGTGGCCTGTGGACTCAGTAGTTGTGGCTCTCGGGCTCTGGAGCACAAGCTCAATAGTTCTGGCACATGGGCTTAGTTGCTCCGTGGCCTGTAGGATCTTCCTGGATCAGCAATTGAACCTGTGCCTCCTGCACTGGCTGGTGGATTCTTTACCACTGGACCACTGGGGAAGCCCTACTTAGAACTTTTAATATCAGTGTTAAAATGTGACAAGAAGTTAGTACTTTGATTACTTAGAAGGCACATATTCGTCTTAGACCACACTCTGATAGTCACTGAGAGTGGTCCTCAAACTTTAGCTTGCTTAGAACTCCCTGAAGGCCTTGCTAAAACCCTCTGCTGGGCCCCTCTCCCAGATTTTGGTCTGGGTGAGGCTTGAGTATTTGCATCTCTAACAAGATCCTAGGTAATGCCTGTCCTGGGACTATACTGCTAGAACCACTGCTTAAGAGTAACTACTGTTAGTGGTTGGAGCAAGTATTGTGGCAGTTACCTAAAGAATAGTTGTTGCATTGGATTGTTACTAGAGGAGCTCACAGAGTTTTTAAAATATCTTGCTATTTGACTATTGTTTAAGAAACCAAGAAAAACATCATTACCTTTTTGAAGTGTTTGGTAATTTTCTTTTTTTTTTTTCCATTTATTTTTATTAGTTGGAGGCTAATTACTTTACATCATTGCAGTGGTTTTTATCATACATTGAAATGAATCAGGCATGGATTTACATGTATTCCCCATCCCGGTCCCCCCTCCCACCTCCCTCTCCACCCCATCCCTGTGGGTCTTCCCAGTGCACCAGGCCCGAGCACTTGTCTCATGCACCCAACCTGGGCTGGTGATCTGTTACACCCAAGATAATATACATGTTTCGATGCTGTTCTCTTGAAACATCCCACCCTCGCCTTCTCCCAGAGTCCACAAGTCTGTTCTATACATCTGAGTCTCTTTTTCTGTTTTGCATATAGGGTTATCGTTACCATCTTTCTAAATTCCATATATATGTGTTAGTATACTGTAATGGTCTTTATCTTTCTGGCTTACTTCGCTCTGTATAATGGGCTCCAGTTTCATCCATCTCATTAGAACTGATTCAAATGAATTCTTTTTAATGGCTGAGTAATATTCCATGGTGTATATGTACCACAGCTTCCTCATCCATTCGTCTGCGGATGGGCATCTAGGTTGCTTCCATGTCCTGGCTATTATAAACAGTGCTGCGATGAACATTGGGGTGCACGTGTCTCTTTCAGATCTGGTTTCCTCGGTGTGTATGCCCAGAAGTGGGATTGCTGGCTCATATGGTAATTTTCAAGACTAGTAAGCACCCTTCTGTGGTGCTGTCTTGAACATCCTGTCAAAAAGAGGAAAGAGATTTGTATTGGGGGTTTGCAGTGTGTTTCAGGATTATAGTT